GTGGATGAGCGGGCGGGCGGGCGGCGATGCGGGAGGTCGTTTGGCCGGCTGGCCGGCCGGCCGCTCCGCGGCTCTTGGTGTCGGCCGGGCGGCGACCGGGCGGGCGCTGGCCGGTGCGCCACAGGTGCCCTTCCCCCTTCCCCTCCCGCCGGCCGGAACAGCAACAGGTGGCCGCGCACCCTCCGCCGCTGGGCGGGGGCGACGGCGAGGGCGAGGACGCGCTCTGGGCGGGCGGAAGGGTTCTCGCCTCTGCGCACGGGGGCGGCCCGGCCAATCAGGGACGGATCTCGATCTGTGCTCGGGGTGTGCGGGGCGGAGCCTCGGACTGGACTGGACGGATTGTTGTAATGAGACGACACGCCGGTGGCTGCGAAAGCCTTGTTTTGAAGGCCTGAGGAGGTGCGAATTTATTTTGGTGATTTATGTGTCATTATGCCGCTGCCCCTTAAGCAGCTAAGAGGAGAGGGGGATTTCTTAATAACTAACTAACGCTAACTTAATTTTACCTTTATCTGATTGTAAAGTTAATGCGTAAGTACACATAACTTGACCTGTTAAGTTGAACTTACTCTTAATACTAAGTGTAATCCTTGCTTCTTTCTTGGCATTTGCTTTTTCCATTCCGCGTTGTTCTTACTTGTTTAATTTTGTACACGCCATTGCATACATATACAACAATTATGGCTACTTTTTTTTCTAAACGATAATGTTCGGGTCGAGTGGGAAATTTTATAATATGCATTTGCGAAGTCACGGAGCCTAACATTTCGTGTATGAATTCTGAACATTGTATATTTATTATGTTTGAAAATAATTCGAACGAAAAAATCGAACGAAAAAATCTTCAGTCTTTCCTTTCCGTGTTTATTTATTTAATTACAAGTGAATTACGTAGGTAGTGTATACGAAAAATGAACACGTTCCGACGCCTATGCACTTTTTACTTGCTTTTATTTAATTTAGATTGTATAGGTCAAATATGGTAACAATTTGTCATTCCATGTTTGTTTGCGACAGAAGAGAAAATCTTTTTTGTGTAGATGTAAACGTCGAAATCGTAAAGTTAACTGATGGAACTGGGCGTACAACGCCATGGAAGCGTAATAAATACTTAAATAGATAATTCAAAGGATTCTCACCAAGTGTATGAATCATAAACCCGTTAAGAGCGAAAGCTCTGTGACGGGGGCTTCAAGCAAATACGCACATTGCCTGCTTTCCTGCTTGCCCTGCCTGCCTATCTCGTCTTCCGGTCTCCATGCGTGAACACCTTCCCGTTTATGTACGACACAGTGAACTGCGTACGAACACCAAACTCGTACTTAAGATTTTTCTGTAATAGATTGACACGTGATTTTGGGAGTCTCACACAAAAAGTACAATAAAGTAGCAGTTAAATGCGTTTTGCCCCAATTTTTTTGCAATTGGAACTTATTTTGCATTGAGTTTCTATTATTGTATTTCCTTTCTATTAGTAGTTTATGCATTTAATTTATATTGTTAAGCTTTATTCCATGAGTACATGTTTTGAAAATGTGGGACGTTAGGAGCGAGTTTTCAAATTTGTACCAATGCAATTAAGCAACATTATAAACGAGTTGCATTCATTATTATTTGTATATCAAGCATTATAAATTTATGAGAGAATAAAACTTAATTTTGCGAAACAACTTTCTTGTGAGGTCTTGGGTATTTTATACGCGCACGTTTATTTGGGGTCCGGAATATCTCTCCCCGTTCCTTTACTAACAGTCGTTAAAATCTGATATCAGTACTATATTCTCCCTTCTAATAGAAACTATTTAGCATCGAAAAACGAGCTACAGATTTGACACAATAGTTCTGTTGGCAAAATAATCAACTCCCGCACTTCTCTCGCTTCTAGCGAAATGAGCGCTCAAGAAAACGCGCGCGAAAAATATTTGACATCTGTGTGAGAAAACGGTGGTCGGCTGTTCCGTTTACCGCTCTACCTCCCCACGATTCTTTCGCTAGAATTGGCTGAACGTGAGATGAAGCAATCGTTCGTGCCGTAAAATGCTAATACGTCATAATTCGTGCCGTAAAATGCCCGATCATGAACGATTTCTCACATCAGAAAAGATCGTTTATAATGCTAGCATTCAAAAAAGTATATTTTATTAATGAAGGTCAGTGATCGTTCATCACAAGAAACATTTTTATTTCACGTTCGTTTTTATCAACATATAATACTTAATTCTACAGTACATCATGTCCAGGTTAGTTTGAATTCTATTGTCCGTTGTATAACAAAAGTTATTAAACATTCTTTGTGCGAATACTATAACTAACAGTTCCACGGCCCCGTGACAACCTTCCCGGCTGCGCGTGTGGCGAAGG